GGTTCAGGCAATTCTCCTGCCTCAACCTCCTGAGTAGCTGGGATTACAGGCACGCACCACCATGCCCAGCTAATGTTTTGTATTTTTAGTAGAGACAGGGTTTCACCATGTTGACCAGGATGGTCTCGATCTCTTGACCTCGTGATCCACCCGCCTCGGCCTCCCAAAGTGCTGGGATTACAGGCTTGAGCCACCGCGCCCGGCCATGATTTTGGTTTTTAAAAAATGTATTGATACTTGTTTTGTGACTTAACATATGGTCTATGTTGGAGAATGCTCCATGCACTAATCAGAAGAGTGTGTATTCTGCCGTTGGGTAGAATGTTCTATAAATGTCTGTTAGCTCCATTTGACCTAAAATCGAATTTAGGTCCAGTGTTTCTTTGTTGATTTTCCATCTCAATGTATCTAGTGCTGTTTGTGGGGTGTTAAGGTCCCCCACTGTTATTGTATTGCTGTGTATTTTTTTTAGATATAATAATATTTGTTTTATGAATTTGGGTGCCCTGGTGTTCGGTGTGTATATATTTGGGATTGTTATATCTTATTTGTTTATTGATCCCTTTATCATTATATAATGACCGTCTTTGTCTTTTTTTTACTGCTGTTGATTTAAAGTCTTTTTTTAATCTGATATAAAAATAGCTACTCCTGCTCATTTCTGGTTTCTATTTGCATGGAATATCTTTTTCTACCTCTTTACCTTCAGTCTGTGTCTTTATCAATAAGATGAGTTTCTTGTATGCAGCATATGGTTAGTTCATGTTTTGTCATCCATTCTGCCAATCTCTATCTTTTAAGTAGAGCATTTAATCCATTTATGTTCAAGATATGCGAGGTTTTATTTCTGTCATAATGTTAATTATTATGTACTTGCTTTGTAGATATTTTTCTTTTCTTCTTTGAGTGTAATTTTGTGGAATTCTGTTATGTTGCCATTTGATCTTCTTCCTTTGTGTAATTATTTTATAAGGCCTGTGAGTTTTATACTTTTGTGTCTTTTTTTTTTTTTAAGACAGGGTTTCACCATGTTGGTCAGGATGGTCTTGAACTCCCGACCTCAGGTGATCCGCCCGCCTTGGCCTCCAAAGTGCTTGGATTACAGGCGTGAGCCACCATGCCCGGTCGACTTTTGTGTCTTTTATGATGGCAAGTATCAACCTTTTGTTTTCATGGTTAGAACGCGAGCATTTCCTGTAGAGCTAGTCTAGTGGTGACAGACTTCCTCAGTGTTTTTATTTTGGGAAGGCTTATTTTTCCCTTCATTTATGGAGCTTATTCTACTAGATGTAAAATTTTTGACTGACGGTTTTTGTTTTATTTTTTGAAGCAACTTGAAAATAGAATCTCAATCTCTTCTGGTTTGTAAGGTTTCTCCAAGTTCAGTTGTCTGATGGGGCTCCCTTTATAGGTGACTAGACACTTTTCTCTTGCTAATTTTAGGATTGTATCCTTCATATAGACCTTAGTCTGATGATTATATGTTGTGATGAGTTCCATCTTGTAATATATTTTCCTGGAGTTTGTTAGATCTCTTTTATCTGGGTGTCTAAAGTTCTTGCTAGATTAAGGAAGTTTTCCTCAATTATTTCCTTAACTATGTTTCCAAACTTTTTACTTTTTCTTCTCCCTCAGATATACCTATGATTCAATTCATAGGTTTGGTCGCTTTATGTTATTTCATACTTCTTTAAAGCATTGTTTTTTCTTCTTTATTCTTTTTTCTTCACTTTCATCTGACTAGATTAATTCAAAAGACCTGTCTTCAAGTACTGAAATTCTTTCTTTTGCTTGTCTAGTCTATTGTAAAAGCTTTCAACTGTGTTTTGTAATTTCTTCAATGAATTTTTCATTTCCAGAAGTTTTTGTTTGGCTTTTTTAAAAAGATAGCTATCACTTTCTCTTTGGTAAATTTGTCATTCTATCCTGAATTGATTTTCTGATTTCTTTCTATTACTTTTCAGATTTCTTTTGTATCTCATTGAGCTTCCATAAAATCAGTATTTTAAATTATTTATGTGGCTTATTTTTTCCTTTATGATCTGTATTTCTTTTATGTTGGTTTTTTCCTGTCTTACTGTACTGACTAGAACTTTCAATAATGTTGAATAAAAGTGGTGAGCTTAGATATACTTGCCTTGTTCCTGATTTTCTGAGGGAAACCTTTAGGTCTAATTTTGGAATATTAAATCAGCCTTGCAGTCTTGAGATAACCACTACTTTGTCTTGATTTATTATACTTTTTATACATTGTTAGATTTGATTCAGTAACATTTTTGTTAAGAATTTTGTAAATATGTTCATTAGAAACATTAGTCTGTAGTTGCCTTTTCTTGGAATGTCTTTATCTTATCTTGATGTCAGAATAATGCCGGCTTCCTAAAATGTGTTGAGAAGTATTCACTCCTTTTCATTTTCCTGGAGGAGTTTGTCTAGCATTGGTATTATTTATTCCTTAAATGTTTGGTAAAATTCGTGGATGAAGCCCTATAAGCCTGAAGTTTTGTTTGTGGAAACGTTTATAAGTATGAATTATATTTCTTTGGTAGTTAAAGGGCTATTCAGATTATCCGTATGCTCTCAAGTAAACTTAGTTTGTGTCTTTCAATAAATTTGTCCATTTCATCTGCATTGTTGCATTTATTGCCATAAAGTTTATAAGGTCCTTATTTTTTTAAATAATATATGCTGGATCTATAGTGATGCCACCTCTGATTCCTGATACTTGTAATTTGTGTCTTCTTTCTGTTTTTATCATGCATGCTAGAGTTTATTAATTTTATTCTTTTCAAAGAACTAGCTATTTATTTCTGTTTTCTATTTATGTTTACTTTGTATTTAATTTGTTCTTGTGCTTTTAGTTCCTTTGACTCATTTCTGCTATATAAATTTCACTCTAAGTAGAAATTTTGATATGTTGGTTTTTTCATTCCATTTATAAAGTCTCTTGAATTATTTTTGATCCACAGTTTATTTAGAAGTATGTTCTTTATTTGAATATTTGAAGATTTTGCAGAGATGGTTCTGTTCATAATTTCTAATCAGTTGTGGTTAGACTATCCTTTGTATGACTTGACTTCTTTTGCATCTGTTAGAACTTGTTCTGTGGCCTAGAATATGGTTTGTCTTGGACTATGTTTTATGCGCAACTGAAAAGAACATTTTCTGCTCTTACTGGATAGAGTCCTATAAAGGCCAAGTAGTCAACTTGGTTGTTAATGTTGCTTCAAGCCTGTGTCTTATTACCTACTTGTTTTTGGTTGTGTTTGCTTTATTTTTAACAGCGTTTGTTTGTTTTCTGGCTGCTGCTGCTGCAACTAAGACCCTTTTTTGTTTCTTCAGCTTTTGAGCATTCTGGAAAACCTGAATTCACAGAACCTTCTTGGCCAGAAGCCATGGTTAGTGGGCTGTTTGATAATTGAGAGGGGAAAGGTGACTTCAATCCCCAGTTCCCTGAATGTCTTCCCAGAGTCGTCATAATAGGTTTCGTGGAGGTTTTTGAGCATCTTTTTCCTCTGGTTGATGCTCATCAGCAGATAGCATTTGTGGGCTTTGTCCTTTTGATGTTTCTGCATGTGTTTTTCGTAACTCCAGATCTTGACCAGATGCAGTGGCTCCTCATTGCAGTAATCCCAGCACTTTGGGAGGGTGAGGTGGAATGATCGCTTGAACCTAGGAGGTGGAGGTTGCAGTAAGCCAAGACTGTACCACAGTATTTCAGCCTGGGCAGCAGAGCAAAACCCCATGTTTAAAAAAAAAAAAAAAAAAAAAAAAAACTATGGACCTTGATGTTCAAGTCAGTAATTCCAGCCTCTGGGGAGCTGGCGTCCTTAGGGATTGCCACGTCCTTTTGTATCAACTTTTTGGCTTCTGCTGGTTGCTATTTCCAAAGACAAGTGTCTTTTAACAACGTCATCAACCTTCTCAATTCTGGGAAAGTTCTGGTAGTCTTTGAGCAGCATAAGGGGACAGGTCATCTTGGCTGAGCTGGATTGGTTTCTGAATGGCATATCCATGGGCGGCTTGGAGGAAGAGAGTTGGAGGCTACCAGCACCACTGATTAGAAGGAAGTCTGGTGCTTCCTCCTCTTGGCTTCTCAAAAACTGGAGCTTGGGTTTCAGTGGAACTTAGCACCCTCCACACAGCCCTTGGCATGGTGATTTCTGACCCACGAGGGTCCAGGTCAGCTGTTGCTTTCACAGTGTGGACTGGGTTACACGGGCGCCACCATATATCTTCCTACTTCCTCTACTAGCTTTTGGAAAGGGGTGTTGAAATCTGCAGCTATAAATACAGATTTTTTTATCAGTTATTTTGAGCACATTTCTAGATGTGACTATTGTACAAGGAGAGCCTATAATTGAGGCATATATTTAGCCTGATTTCTGTAGTTGCTACTTATGATTCAGTTGCTGTAGCCAAAGAAGAGGAGACTTTTAATTTACCATTCTTATAGGCAAGGAAGTCAATTTTTTATTTCTAAGTACTTACTGAGATCTTATTTTGTTGCTCTGCAGCCTAGCTGGTTTCTACCTCCTGTCCTATTCTTAGATCTGTAGTTCTGTGTTTCCACAGGCAAATGAAACCCAAGAAAATCCATGATGGTAAAGATAAGCTGAAAATTTCCATTATGAACTAAAGCCTAATACTGAAGGACTGTGTGTAAAAATTGGACACATCTGGACAAAGCATTCACTTTGGAGTTAAATATACTGGAGAAGACACACAGGCAGCAAGACACATACTCAGAAAAGACCCAGGAATACCTTAAGCACTCACCCGGGGCTGATCTCAAATTTTCTATCTTAAATATGGCTTTTAAAAAAATTGTTCTCTTGGTTGCAGCTGCTTTTCAGAGCTCCTATAAATTTATTCCAGCCAGTATGGAGTTGTTTCTTAACGTTTCCACAGGGAAAACAAGAGCTTAGATCTTCATAATTCTATACTTTGATCATGTCAGTCTCTTGGTCCTTTATTCCTTATTCTCTCTATCCTTTCAGGAGACAGGAATCAAAATGAGATGGCGACTCTTCACAAAGCAGAATTAAGGTGCTTTCCACTGGGAGAGCTTTCATGCTGGCAAATCAAGAGACATGTTGCAAGCAAATTAGCCAGAAGTCAAGATTCCATGATAAATATTGAAGTGCAGAGCTCTCAGTTCCCCAGGCACCATGATTCCCCCTGTCAAGTGGGAGCAGGAGAATCTGTTCAAGCTTCTGAGGATGACAGCTGTCTAGTGAATCTCATGGGAGATCATTCCAATATCATTGAAAATCAAGAATTTCCAACTGAGAAAGTTCAGAATTCATGGAGTAAAATATACCTGAATCAGACACAGAATTATCAGAGAAGTTGTAAGCAGACCCAGATGAAAAACAAATTATGTATATTTGCTCCATGTGTTAACATTTTTGGTTGTATTTCACACCATCATGATAATATATTGCACAAAAGAGATAAAGCTCATAGCAATAGTGATTGTGGTAAAGACACCCTAAAGGTGTCACCTCTTACCCAGTATAGTATTCACACAGGGCAGAAAACCTACCAGGGTAATGAATGTGAAGAAGCCTTCGATGATGGCTCCAGTCTTGAACTTCATAAGCAGGTGCACTTGGGAAAGAAGTCTCCAGCATGTAGTACACATGAGAAGGACACCAGTTATAGCTCAGGTATTCCTGTTCAACAAAGTGTTCATACTGGAAAAAAACGCTACTGGTGTCACGAATGTGGTAAAGGTTTCAGTCAGAGCTCAAATCTGCAAACTCATCAGAGAGTCCACACAGGGGAGAAACCCTATACATGCCACGAATGTGGTAAGAGCTTTAATCAGAGCTCACATCTTTATGCTCATTTGCCTATTCACACAGGAGAGAAGCCTTATAGATGTGACAGTTGTGGGAAGGGCTTCAGTCGTAGCACAGATCTTAACATTCATTGCAGAGTTCACACTGGAGAGAAACCTTACAAATGTGAGGTGTGTGGGAAGGGCTTTACTCAGAGATCACATCTTCAAGCCCATGAAAGAATTCACACTGGAGAGAAACCATATAAATGTGGAGATTGTGGTAAACGCTTTAGTTGTAGCTCAAATCTTCATACCCATCAGAGAGTCCACACTGAAGAAAAACCATACAAATGTGATGAGTGTGGTAAGTGCTTTAGTTTGAGCTTTAATCTTCATAGTCATCAACGAGTCCACACAGGAGAAAAACCATATAAATGTGAAGAGTGTGGTAAGGGTTTTAGTTCAGCCTCAAGTTTCCAGAGCCATCAGAGGGTCCATACAGGAGAGAAACCATTTCGATGCAACGTGTGTGGTAAAGGCTTCAGTCAGAGTTCATATTTTCAAGCACATCAGAGAGTCCACACTGGAGAAAAACCATACAAATGTGAAGTGTGTGGAAAGCGCTTCAATTGGAGCTTGAATCTTCACAATCATCAGAGAGTCCACACAGGAGAGAAACCCTACAAATGCGAAGAGTGTGGTAAGGGTTTCAGTCAGGCCTCAAATCTTCAAGCCCATCAGAGCGTCCATACTGGGGAAAAACCTTTCAAGTGTGATGCATGTCAGAAGCGATTCAGTCAGGCCTCACACCTTCAAGCCCATCAGAGAGTCCACACCGGAGAGAAACCATATAAGTGTGACACATGTGGTAAGGCCTTCAGCCAGAGGTCAAATCTTCAAGTCCATCAAATAATTCACACTGGAGAGAAACCATTTAAATGTGAGGAATGTGGGAAAGAGTTCAGTTGGAGTGCTGGGCTCAGTGCTCATCAGAGGGTCCACACAGGAGAGAAACCCTACACATGTCAGCAGTGTGGGAAGGGTTTCAGTCAGGCCTCACATTTTCACACACACCAGAGAGTCCACACTGGAGAGAGGCCTTACATATGTGATGTCTGTTGTAAGGGCTTCAGTCAGAGGTCACATCTTGTCTACCATCAGAGAGTCCACACTGGAGGGAATCTGTAGAAATTTGAGGTGTGGTTCACCCTCCAGTTAGAGTTCACGGCTTTATCTCCATTGGGAAGTGCATGCTGATGACTGTGGAAAGCTCCTTTAAAACTAGAAGGTTCAAAGAATCTTGACAGGAAAGAAGTCTCTCAGATGCTGTGTTTCAGACTTGGTTAGGACATGACTTCTTTACAAATGTCATATTTCACAGACAGAAAACTCTGTTCTATAAATATGATCTGTGTTTATATCTGCATTGCCAAGTGTCTCAGTTCTCAAGATGTAACACAGCAGAAAAGTATTGTCAGAGTCTGCCCAGGAGAGAGGCCTTACTTTAAAAAAAGTATGATTGAGGCCAGGCGCAATGGCTCATGCCTACAATCCCAGCACTTTGGGAGACCGAGGCAGGCGGATCACGAGGTCGAGACGGAGACCATCCTGGCCAACATGGTGAAATCCTGTCTCTAAAATACAAAAGTTAACTGTGTGTGGTGGCGCACGCCTGTAGTTCCAGCTACTCGGGATGCTGAAGAAGGAGAATTGCTTGAACCCAGGAGGCGGAGGTTGCAGTGAGCCAAGATTGCGCCACTGCACTCCAGCCTGGTGCCTGGTGACAGAGCGAGACTCTGTCTCAAAAAAAAAAAGTGTGATTGACAGAAAAAATTCATGTCAACTAAAATGTAACCTCTATATAGGGAGGTGTTTTTCATCACTGTATCTCTACTATGTAGAATTGTGCTTGGCTTATAATAGGGCCTGGCAATTACTGAAAAAAGTGAAGAAAATACCTATAATTAGGACAAATATTTGAAAATTCTAGTCTGTTTTCTACCCGAAATTCATATTAATTTATATTCAAAGGGAATTTTGTAAGTAGCCTTAATAACGTTAGTTTCAGGAAATACTAAAGTACAGAAAAGTATATAATACTACCATCCATACTAATACGAATTTGGACAAAAGACCTGAATGGCTCCCATCCTTCAGCCTTAGTTGTTTGTACAGTGTAACATCAGTTGTGTAGTATAATTTTTAGTATCATTAGTTTATGGACTGAACAATACTTTTTAAACTCTAATGTGACACTGCAATTTACATGATTAGAATTTTTGGACACTAATTCATTAAGGTTGAGCTTTACTGTAACTCTGAAAGTGTTAAAAGTAGCTACTGATGACAAAAAGTTTCTTAATAAATTTGAATTGTTAATAATTTGTTTCATTATTTCCATTCAGGTTCAGATCAAGTTTCTTTTCTATGTGTCCTCTTTATTCCTTCTAGACTTCTAGAAGGAGCTTTGACAGATTTCAGGCACATTAATTTGTCACATTCCCTTAAAAGGGGATAGCAGGGCAAGAAACCTGTTGAGTTTTTATTGAAATTTTATCTATTGTTTATTTTATTAAATAGAGCCTTGCTGTGTTGCTCAGGCCAGCCTCAAACCCCTGGCCACAAGCATTTCTCCAACCTTGGCTTCCCAAAGTGTTGAGATTACAGATGTGAACTCCTGTGCCCAGGCTTGAAATTGTATTCAATGTAATGATTTAGATGGATTACCATTTACACAGCATTCTATGCTTAATGCCTCTTAGTATGAGTGGACAATAAATACTCTTTGACCTGGCAGCCCTAGCACTAGAAATTTCACTTAGGAGATTGTGACAAAAGTGAGAAAGATTGTACACAAGGATATTTATCCTGAATTCAAAAAGGAAAATGTCAGTAAAATATTTGAGTAAGTCTTGATATATCCTTATAATATACAGCCATTAAGATGATCAGAGATCTGTAATAACTAGAGAAAACATTATTCATGAGAAAACTAGGTTGGAACCTTCCTGGGAAGATCCAATTAATAGAAGTCTGTCTAATGATGTGATTATATGCATAGAAATAATGGAAGGATATTAATATGCTAACAGTTGTTTACTCTGGCATCGAAGGTTGGGATATTTAACTTTTCAAAAAATTACAGTGACATCAATTTTATCAAAGCAGTAAAACTGAAATAAAGTTATGTGTAAATGAAAATCCCTTATAGCTAAATCTAACTTGTTTGCTTTATCTAATTATATGGCATGTAATCCTGTGTTACAGTTATGTAACTGACTTCAGCCACTTGACACTCAAAGGCTGAAAACATAAGAAAATGTAGTGAAAGGAAGGCAGTTTTGCTAACCAAATGCTAGCAGTTGGGAAGTGACCAGGCTCATGCCTTAAAATACCATTTCAACTTTTTGTGAGGGAGTTTAAGAAGGAAAACTTGGTGTGGGAAATAGGTTGGAGCGATGCAGCCAGATGGCAGGTCTTACATGTCTTGTTCTGATGGTTATCTTGAGTAATCGCCCGTCTGGATGTCCAGTTAGCATCATCTTGACTTTGGCCCAGGAGTGGTGGATGAACTGTTCATAACTGCTCCTAAGTGGGAGGATTGTGCAGTTGATTCGATTAGTTTCTGTGTCAGGTTTGCTTTAAAAGTAGATCCTGGAATTTCTAAGCAAGCAGATTAGACAAGTGAGCACTGTGCATGAAATACCTGACGGGAAAGAGGGAGATGAAGAGTTTTAAGGTATAAGGCCACGTTCTGGGGTTGGAAAGGAAGGGGAAAAAAGTTTTAAAATGCATTTCAAGGCTGGAATACTCAGTTACAATTCCCCACTTTCAAACTTCATCCTTTTTTAAAAAATTATTATTACACTTTAAGTTCTGGGATATATGTGCAGAATGTGCAGGTTTGTTACATAGGTATACATGTGCCATGGTGGTTTGCTGCACCCATTAACCTGTCATCTACATTAGGTATTTCTCCTAATGCCATCCCCCCCAGCTCCCCACCTCCTAACAGACCCCAGTGTGTGATGTTCCCCTCCCTATGCCCATGTGTTCTCATTGTTCGGCTCCCACTTATGAGTGAAAACAGGCAGTGTTTGGTTTTCTGTTCCTGTGTTAGTTTACTGAGAATGATGGTTTCCAGCTTCATTCATGTCCTTGCAAAGTACATGTACTCATTCTTTTTTATGGCTGCATAGTATTCTATGGTGTTTATGTGCCATATCTTCTTTATCCAGTCTATCATAGATGGGCTTTTGTGTTGGTTCCAAGTCTTTGCTATTGTGGATAGTCCTGCAATAAACGTACATGTGCATGTGTCTTTATAGTAGAATGATTTATAATCCTCTGGGTATATTCCCAGTAATGGGATTGCTGGGTCAAATGGTATTTCTGCTTCTAAATTCTTGAGGAATCACCACAGTGTCTTCCACATGGTTGAACTAATTTACACTCCCACCAACAGTGTAAAAGCATTTCTAATTCTCCACATCCTCTCCAGCATCTGTTGTCTTCTGACTTTTGGACGATCACCATTCTAACTGCTGTGAGATGGTATCTCGTGGTTTTGATTTGCACTTATCTAATGACCAGTGATGATGAGCTTTTTTTCATGTTTGTTAGTCACATAAATGTCTTCTTTTGAGAAGTGTCTGTTCATATCCTTTGCCCGCTTTTTGATGGGGTTGTTTTTTTCTTGCAAATTTTTTTAAGTTCCTTGTAGATTCTGGATATTTGTTGTCAGATGGATAGATCGCAAAAATTTTCTCCCATTCTGTAGGTTGCCTGTTCACTCTAATGATAGTTTCTTTTGCTGTGCAGAAGCTCTTTAATTAGATCCCATTTGTCAATTTTGGCTTTTGTTGCCATTGCTCTTGATGTTTTAGTCATGAAGTCTTTGCCCATACATATGTCCTGAATGGTATTACCTAGGTTTTCTTCTAGGGTTTTTATAGTTTTAGGTCTTATGTTTAAGTTTTTAATCCATCTTGAGTTTAATTTTTGTATAAGGTGTAAGGAAGGGGTCCAGTTTCTGTTTTCTGCATATGGCTAGTCAGTTTTCCCAGCATCATTTATTAAATAGGGAATCCTTTCCCCATTGCTTATTTTTTACCAGGTTTGTCAACAGATGGTTGTAGATATGCAGCATTATTTCTGAGACCTCTGTTCTGTTCCATTGGTCTATATATCTGTTTTGGTACCAACACCATGCTGTTTTGGTTACTGTAGCCTTTTAGTATAGTTTGAAGTCAGGTAGCATGATGCCTCCAGCTTTGTTCTTTTTGCTTAGAATTGTCTTGGCTATATGGGCTCTTTTTTGGTACCATGTGAAATTTAAAGCAGTTTTTTTTTTTTTTT